CATTACTATCAGGAGGTGCAACCAAGTATGCACCAACCTCCTGTAAGACCACTCTACCCCAAAGACTTTCCCAGAGTTAAAGTCATCATGAATGGTAGTTGAGTGCCAGGAAGAGAAACTCAATATGTCTGCTAAAACTCGACTGGCACCACCAACAACAACTGGGGAGACTTATGTGGGTACCCCACGAGGAGGTTTTGGATATAGTTGACTTACCTAGTATGGTCCCCCACTCTACATCCAGGAGTGTATCCTTGTTAACCCACTTTTCTCATTGTGGGATTGAGTTACAATATCTTTCTCTGGTTAGGATCACTTTCCTACCACATTCTCTCCCACTCAGCTGTGCTCCTCTCATTTTCTACCCTGATATCTTACACATTCCACACATGGGTGGAAAGTATATCTGTTTCAGAAGTGGTGCAGTTCAATTCTTTCAGATCTTAAGATCTGACTCTCTCATTTTTGGAGGTATTCTTTGGAAGTTTTCGGGGAGTAAGTCTGTTCCTCCCTCACACCGGTCCCTCCTCCTAATCAATGTGGGATTCTAGCTAATCTTTTGAGTGGAGTGAAGTACTGTATCAGAAGTTATAATTTTTCTATACTGAAAATTAATTTCTGATAAGTACTTCCCTTTTCTCACACTTCCCACCCTTCCTCTCCACACACTTCTGGTGCTTCCGTTTTCTGTCAACCTCCGAAATGATAGTTTGGTAGAGGCACATTTGAGGGTATCACATGGATTATGTGAGTGTACTATGCTCCTATTGGTGGAGAGGTGATGCATGATGATTTACATGAGAGACATGTTGGAATCACTTAATTCCAATAGGAGAAGCATGTGGCATGTGTAAATAAAAAGTTCGCATATAGGGGCCAGCAATGAACAAGAATAGCTAATCTTGTGAGAAGAGGGAAGTATCTATTGCAAATACATTTTCAGTATAGGAAAATTATAACTTATGTTACAAATATTATGTTACAACTTTATACAAAGAACTAGTGTTTAATTTTAAAACATTAATGCATTCAGATAATGAAGTATACAATGTCATTAAAACTTATATAGATACATAGAAATACATTGTGGTTTTATTAGACTTTGGAAAATTAAATTGGCAAAGAAACAGAAAGTCACCAGAGGGAAACTACAATATACCAAACTCAGCTTTATTTAACGCTACAGTACCACCATCAAATTAAACATGTAGGAAAACAGCTTCAAACAGAGCCTATGATGATCATTTCAGAGAAGTTCAACACCTGGGCAGAGTTCTGTTGGCAACATCACTACCAATCTAAAACCTTCCAGTGGATAACAGACTGGAACTTTACATTGAGAAGAAGATTTGTGTTGGGAGAGAGAGAGACAACTGCAAGACAATAGAAAACTTCACTGGGTCATCAAAGAATTTGCCAAGCCACAATGAAAGCAAGTTTGGACAGCATCAGAGAGAGATAAATTAAAGATGATGATTCCACTGAAGGATAAATGCCAAAGTTAACACTGCAAGAGCTCTAATTTGAGCAGTTGAAGGACCATGACCTATTGTGGGTGCTCTTTGCAGTTCAGCAAAGTCAAGCCTGCCCAGTACTAGTGGAAGAGCATAGCATGAACAAACATAACCTCTGGCACTTGTACAGACACTTGTGACTGTAAGAAAGTGTGCTCTACTGTTTTTACAAGCCAGAGAAGTGGGATGCTGAGGTAGTTCTGCACCTAGTAGTTCCCAAAACTCTTTGGCAATGGATATTATTGACTACACAACACTAGAATCTGAGGGCACCAAGGTGTAACATACTTGTGCTCACATCCGACAGTAGTTTCTTCTGGCCACAAGTTAGTCGAGATGTTTGATGCTAGATTGAAGCCTCCACATTGGGGGGTCAGGTGAGAACCACCAGTCTCCTCGGATGAACTTATGCTACAGTTCTAAGAGACATTCTTTGAAGAGGAATTACAGCCCTTTCCAGAAAACCACAAATGTAAATCCCCAAGATAAGCTGTCGAAAGGGATTAAACATTGCCAAACACTGGAGCAAATTCCTGTCATAAAAAGGCACTGATAGGAGATGTCTGCATAATGGATAGAGGCATGGGCCCTGTATATCCAAGGGGAGGATTGACTAAGGCAGAGGGCAACACTCTCACATTGTATGAGGAGTTGTAGTGCTTGTAGGCAGGCTTGCTGACACCAAGTGAGCCCTTAAGAAAGCTCAGGAAGATATCAAGAAGTCAGAAGTGACCAACCACAAAACAGCAATGGCCCTAAAGATTTTGTCTGTGTGGCTTAGAGAGTAGGAATGAAGCTTCAACCAATCTTGGGGAGGACTCAATAAAGTGTTTATGCGTTTTATTTTTATTTGAGGGGGATGGGGTGTGGAATGACAATGCCCTTGCTGTTTCATGCATGTGAACATTTAGGAAAGAACAAGGATTTAAATTTTTTGTGCTTCCCTGTGTTTGATGGATACATGTGTGTATAAGTAAAATAAGATCACATCATTTCTTTGCAAACACCCATGAGTGTGTTTATCTGCTAGGAATGACTGATTTGCAAGTTAAATTCAAGAAACTTCTCTTTTTATATTTGTGAGAGAATTAAGTCTGATTTTCTGATTCCCTCATGATTTTACATGTTAAAAGTTAGAGTTTTAGCTTTAATTTTAATTTTGGTGCTTTATTATTGCTCATTTTACATTTTATGTTATGAAACAATTTTAGTTTCTGTTCCTATAATGTATTCAATTTTAATGTTTTCCCTAGTATTTAGTTTTGTTTTTTATGTACACAATTAAAGGGGCTTACTATATTTAAGTTTTCCTTTGCGTTAGATTGCCCTCTCCTAAAGTGGGCAGTTTATCTTTGCACCTTGGTTATTCCTTTCTTTATTCTTTTTCTAGTTTTATTTTCTGTGATTGTATGTGTCACTACACTTTGTTAATTCATTGTATACCCGGTAAAAATGTGTTTTCTCTCAGGCATAACATAAGTTTCTATGTTACTGTTATCCTTCCATGAAAATTCATTACCTGCCAAATATTTCAATGTCAGTTGTAATATGAAAGAAAAAAAAACCAGGTGCACTATGCCTCCAAATAACAGAGGTCAATTATTGCAGCTAATCTCATATCACAAGGTTTTCACATCAAGATAGAATCACTTATTTCTATTCACAAGCTATATAATAGTTGTGTTCTTTATGTAATTGATCCATTGGTATTATACATCACTTATGAATAACTTCACATAACACAGACATACTTATTTATACTTACATATTACCATATCCATATATCAACATTAAACACTGTCACATACACTAATAGCTTAAAATCAACTGTATCTGGTATCCTCTTTGGGCTGCATCACACAGGTTATGTTTATACCAGAGGTGCAGTAATGTGCTGTCATCTAAGAGCTGTCTCACTTGTGTTTCTTTTTAGGCATCACAAAATGAATAATTACTGGCAGAATTTAGCTAAACTAACATGTTTCAGTTACAATTTGTGCTATTGCTATAGTATATATCAATATTCACTCAAGTAAAACACAACTCTCTCACTGCACATGGAAAAGCTATTACACTATTCAGGTGTACAGAGGAGAATCTAGAGACAACCATGCAGTATGCTTCATAGAATTTCCATTATTTGGCCAGATCAGGAGAATAATTCTCACAAAACTAAAGATGACACTTTTGTCTCAGAAAATTACTTCACCTTCAGTTGTGCAAACTGTTAATAGTTTAGATATTAAATTTATTATTACTATCCATCTTAACTATGTGAATCAAGCAGTTATCATGTGATATCATATGAATATACTACATTGTGAAATTCTGCTCAATAGCTCAGAATGTAAGAGTCACAATGACCTTTTGGTCAAACTGATCTTATGATCAAAACACCATAATAACTGTAAATAATCAAATGGTAATTTTAACAATTTAGTGCACACATCATAACTTATAATACCATCCAATAGCTCAGAAACCAAGAAATGCTTCTTCCTTACAGTCATTGGTTCTTCAACCACATGGTCATACTAGCTACTTGATTATCCTGTTTAATCTCAGCCATATCAATCAGAAGGCTTTTGACAGTGGTTTAACTGACTGTCAAAACTCGATGATGAGGAACCCACTTTGAGACTAATAATGGCTGGAGATGGCTTGAATGGGTAATGAAGAAAAACTTGAATATAACAGCAAATGTACAACGTTTCGACAAGGTTTTGTCATCATCAGGTACTGTCAAAACTGTTCCTCACCACTGGTTCTGGTGTTTCCTCACCCAGCAAGATCACTACTGTTAGCAGATGACGTCCATCAATATTATCTCCTGTCTGTCTTGACCATTCTCCAATGACTGTGGCTGGCAAAGTCTTGAAGTCCTATACAGAACTCTCCATTTGGTTTCAGACATGAATATCACACCAAAGCAACAACCCTCAGCTCGATTCTCAGAGAAAGTGTGTAAACAACCTTTCTTGGTGCACCAGACATTGTCAACACCTGTTCCAGCACGCAACCTGTCATCAGCAGAAACAAGATGGAGGTCATTACCTTTGCAACATCAACAAATAGTCTGATGTCCAGGAGATGGCTTGTTCTAGACTTGACATCTCTCTCAAACAGACTTTTGATCTTGTCTGTAAGTCATGAGGGTTCTAGGAAATGCCACTTGCATAGCTATAAAGCTTTTTTTAAACTTAAACACAAGAGTACAAGCAAAGGGCAATACACACACATTGGCAGAAAACAGAAAAGTTCATTATCAGTTCAAAATCAGGTATGGTTGTACATAGATAGTCCTTTGTGTACCATTACATGGAAATTTTGAAAAAAAAAAAAAAGTTAGATATGTAATCAAAAACAGTGATGATGTGATGAAATAACTGTTTTAAGAAACATTAATGTTGATTACACAATGGCTTCAACCCTTCAGAGTTTGTTATAGAATCACAATATATTTAATGCATTGAATAACCAACTTACTGATCAAAAAGTTCCACAGCTGTAAAAGACACTTCAATTGGTTCTTTTGACCATTCACACACATTAAAAATTGACTCTACTACCTTTCCACTTGTCCAGTTACCCTGCAATAAAATAAAAATAAGATAAAAACAAACAAATTATGTGTGATTATGAAATTTATTACTTGAAGCAACTTCCAATTTAAGGCAATGAAACACATCATCTTAATTTCTAAACACATTTCCAGAGTTTTATCTTTTATGACAACAATTTAAAGCCAACATTTTTTTTATTATTACAACAGGCATTTATTTTACTTTATAAATTAATGCAAGTATTGTAATTTTTTTTTCATGCTCACTTAATTATTCCTAGTGTCTTGTCAGGAGTATTTCAAACACTATCTATAGACAGTATGGAGTTGTACTTTTATATTTAATAAGATTTGTATATGTATGATTTTTTTCTGTTAATATAAAAAATTATACAGTTCTGATATCATTAGCCCTTCCAAGGTTGTATTTTTTCTTTTACAGTTTTTTACCTTAAATTGGTTATTTTCATTCTATCTCCCTAACTGTCAATATCATTCAACTGATACGTATGTGTGTGTTGCACATTAAAAGAGATCATGCAATGGTACATGGCTGAGATACAAGATTGATTGATTGTTGTTAAGCACAAAACTACACAATGGGCTATCTGTGGTGTGCCCATCATGGGTATCAAAACCCAATTTATAGCATCATAAGCCTTCAGACTTACTGCTGAGCCACTGGGGGCTAAGATACAATGAAGCATTAAATTATGATAATAATATAAAATTGAACTACCAAAACACTTACCTGAAAAATCATATTCTCTAGGGTCTGATGATTAATTATTTGTAAATTATATTATTATTTCATGTTTATAATTATATAAGAAAAACTTATCAATACAACAGACTATCAGCCTATACTTGCTTACATTTTGTCAACTTAAGTTGAAACATTTTGTTTCAATCCAAACTTTTCATCTATGTTAAAACTTCTCTTCTAAAAATCTCATCACAATTTTAACCATATGGACACTTTTCTTTATATGAGATTGATGCAAAGAAATGCTGTACCTAGTGATACAAATGAAGCTAATAAGCAAAAACTGTTGATGACAAGTACATACTTTAGTTATTTCAGTAGCATTTAAAGTTATGTTACAAGGGCAAAAATTTAAAAAAGGCTTAATATTTTATTGTCTGTATGATGTTTACAATGAATTACTTAAATTATAGTACATTATGACAAGTAATAGTACCTACATCACCAGGAATTTCAGATAATTAAATTTTGTAACTTTTAGTTTATATTATATAATTTTTTCAGTTCCACCTAAAACTTGTTAAACACGTGGTGATTCAAAAACAGTAATATTTTTGGTAAAGAAACAAGTTTCTGTCACTATTTGGAATATATGCTGAGAAAAAGAATCAATGAGTTTATGGAAATTACATACAGGTATGTTACATTGTTTCATACGTTTTATTTTCATTAGACTTTTGAAATGAACTTATCGGTACTTGATAGTCTCTTTTATACATTTAATTTAGAAATTTTCCACACTTCCAATGGTTTTAAATTTCTAAATTGTTATCAGAGTATCACTAAAATTCAATGCATGTTTGAGAATGTTCCAACGTTTCTGCATATCTTGGTAAACTGTGTTCCTTCGTGCAATCTGCCAATCTTCTCAAATTTTTTAGCAATGCTTAGGAGGCAGAAAGAAGATCGAGACAGTTTTGTGTGAAAGGAGGTAAGTACCGATCAGAAATACATTTTCAGTGTAACAAATGCAGCATTGGAGAGCTTTGCATGCAGCTGCCACATGTCCAAAGCACAGGCAATTGTAACAGTGGGTTACAACTACCACTGGTGTTTTTGTGAATTCTACAGTGTATCTTTGATATCAGAAAATAATACCATTTGATATTACACCCTGGATATCTTGTGTTTCATGTACATATATTTTAACTAAGTTTGTAAGTCTTTGTGTTCTGTTGTAAAACGTTCGTTCAACTTTAGTGGATTGTATGTGTTTATGTGTGAGTTCAGCTTCAATGTCTTCGTTTGTAATGCGGCTCTGTATATCTTTTATAATAAAAGATTTGGGGTTCAGTTTGTTTCCTGGTATGTGTACTGTGATGTTTCCGGGTTCAAATGCACCTTGGGGCCATTCCTTCAATAGACGGTTGAGGTCAGTGGCCTCTGACCCATTAACTAGGATGCCGCCCTTAGCTAGATGCTTGATTGATGTTATATTTACTTCCGAATTACATCTTTTGATTTCAGCCACAAGTTGTAGTTCCCTATACTGAGCTGGAATTCCTTGTATTATTATTGAGTATTGTGGTGTTACATTTGTTTGAGTGATCACGTTTTGTGGTGTCAGTTTTCTTATTTTCTTAAGTGTTACCAGGATGAAATTATTTGTATCTTCAAGTATTTGTGGTGTTTTGTAATGGTTTAAATTCAACTACGTTTGCTTCATTTTGTTTTACTTGTTGTTCATGTGCATTTTCGTGTGTTTCGTTATGTTGTGTTTGATTTAGTGTCTGTTTGTATTCTTCATTGTGTTCATGTGATTTTAGTGTTTCTGATTGTTCTTCTGGTTCGGAAGTTTCTATGACTTCCATGTCTGAGTTCTCTACTTGTAAGTTAGATTTTGTTGTCTTTTTTAGGTTTTTGTTTCCTTTTTGCTCTCATCTTTAGTTTGTAGTCCTTTTGTGCAAGGGCTACTAGTTCTTTAAGGTATTGGGTAAAGTGTTTTGTGGTTTCTATTAGTGAATCTGCAACCAAACCAGCCTTAACTGAAGCTCTGTTCATGCTGGGTGTTGACATAGATCCCCGCCACCGGAGATTTTGGAGATATCTGTCCGTGTGCTTTCTTCTTGTAAGGGGTACTTTGGAAGGGTATGCTTACCCACTGGGTCATATCGAATGTCTTGCTTGCCTGCTGAAGGGTACTAAACGTCTATCACCTTTGAAATCTCAGTGCCTTGGTGGAGGGTGGTCACATGCTATATATATGTTCAAAACTGGCAGAAAATTTGTGGGGTATATAGACTGGTGTGCTGAGTGTTAAATGTTTTAGCTATGCTTAGGGGGCAGAAAGAAGTTTGAAATATCTTTCTGTAAGAAGAGGTAAGACTATCAGAAAAGATGTCCTGAAAAGGTAAAATGTTCTATGGTGGAAGGTGGTTTTTGTTCTGTGTGTGATAATAGCTTGAATGGTGTTGAAAGGTGAAGTGTTTGTTTGCTCTAGTTAAGCATAAATCTACACAATGAGCTATCTGTGCTCTGCCTGCCACAGGTATCAAAACCCAGTTTCTAGCATTATACATTATACATACTGCTGTGTCACTGTGTAAATTGGTATGCTGTTCATATTGCTTTAAGTTATTGTGATTGTATCAATTTGTATATTTTTTCAAACATATTGTGTGTAACGATATTGCTGTATTCTATGATAGGCCTGATATATACTTTTTAAGTTAACATTATATTTTGGGCATTGCATCCATTGGCGTAACCTCCAATTTGATTCTTAAATGTATTTTCTTTGATATTTTTGAAAAGTGAGTATTCCAGGTTAATTTTTGATTAAAATGAACTCCTAGGAATTTTATGGTTTTTGGAAAATAAACATATGTCATATAGTTTTGGTTTCACTTCATTTTTTTTTTTTATGTTTCTTTTCAGACTTTTTGAATACTATCACTTGCATCTTTTGTGGATTTAAAATTACATGTCAAGTATTGTACCATTCCATAATATGGACTTTGAAGTTATATGTATATGGGATTAGCTGTTGAGAGAGATGATAGTTAAATATAGCATGTTATAGGAATTGTTAGTGGGATATAGTTAACATTTGTGTGTTTTGATTTTCTTATTCTGTCTTTAAACAGAAAATAGTTCCTTATTCTGATAGTTGGTTTAAGGATGACATGAAGTTCTACTTGCAAATTAATGCTACACAATAAGGTTTTGAGTTTTGTTTTTTTTTATTTCAAGGCATGCTTTCCAGTGAATTCTAGTGTTTATAAGTCTTTTTTAGATAACCAGCATAATCAATGAGTACATCAACAAAGCTGGTATCAGTTTTATTGGTTTCTTTTTTTTTTGCTTAGATAGAATTTTATGCTATTTATGTCTTTTTCTCAATTATTTCTAAATTACTAGAAACCTTATGGGCTCTGTATACCATAATTTTTAAAAAAGATGTGCTTTAAATTTCTTTGGTATAAAACTTTTATAGTTGAAGTATAAATTGAAAATGTAGTTTTATGGTAGACTCTGGTTTCAAACTTCCCATTCTTTTTAATATGGTAAATAAGAGTCTTCTTTTTCAACAGTGAATTTAATATAAATACATGGGACCTTCTTTTTTTTTTCAGACAAATCACTTTGTAGGTGATTGAAGAAGTACAAATGGTAGAGGTCAAGCATTAACAGCTACATGTAGTTCCTATTGAAAATACATGTTGACGCTTTTACATCAAGACTGTGAGAGTTAATGAACACAAAAGCATGATATGAAAAACATCCAGTTTGTATATCACATTGATTATGTTATGTGTTGTGTATCAAATACAAGCAAAATTTTGTAGTTAAAACCCACGTCTAGACACTAGAATGCCAATCAAGAATGTGACACAACCATCCATCCCCCGGTGGGACAGCTAGTATAGATGGTGCAGTATGAGTGGTGAAGGGTAGTCACATTATTGACACATCTAGCTGCAATGTTACAAAAATGAAGGAGTATAATAGACTAGTGTGCTGTTGAAAATGTTAGCAATGCTTAGAGGTCAAATCAAGGTTGTGATAACTTTGGGTGAAAGAGGTAGTACCATTTCAGAATATAGTCAACACATATACTAAGATCTCTTAATAAAATGTAACATGAAGTACAAACACTAAATCAACCCTTTTACATTGAAACAAATCATTCACTATATAGAACAAACCCTTACAAAGTATAGGGATATACACACACACACACTTAGCATCTCAATATATATATAAAAGTACAACTAAAATACTACATAACATTTATACAATACAGAGTGAAATAAAACTTT